GAAGTTAATGGGAGAAAGATCGTCTACTGTTTTTGTCTCTGAAGGTCAGTTAGGTATCTGCATGTGCACAGCGCAATTCTCGAGATAGTTGTGTCCTTTTATGTTGGAGTTTTACAGATTGTTCCTATGGTTTGCCTGTCAGGTGTGATGGGCCTGCTTTTTTCTTGTTAGATAGGCCAGAGTAAAGGGTCCTACACAGGTTAATTTTAGGGCTGAGACCCATAGGCTGACGTCATAAGCAACCACCAAGCTCTTTCTCTCTATGCAGTGGGGAAACTATGGGCTCAGTGTTGGACTTCTTTTTATGGGTGGATGGGGGCTTTTCACCCACTCGCCTGAAGGTGTCCGGGCTGGGCAAAGAAGGTACAACAGGGAAGAGGAGGAAAAAATGTGTAGAATGGCCCACATTTTGCAAATGTCACTGCACCACTTTTAGCATGGTTCCCTGTGCCCATCTGGCTGTAGCCCTGCCCTCTGAACTCTGCCTGGGCAGGGTGGCCGCAGAGGGAGTCCCTTCTCTAGCGATTCCTAACTCACAGTACTTTCCTTTATATCATGATTTTTCCACTTGCGTGTGTGGGGAACTGACACCCTGTACATTATGCTAGATCCAGAGGTCTGGTGTTGTTCTTTGAGTGCAGCTTCTCTAGGTTTTCAATCCCTCCCCCATGGAGCCGTTCCTACCTGGCTGTCTGTGCTGCCCGCCAAAACCACCACTTTCCACAAACTTTTTGAAGCTGCATTGTAAGTCTTTAAGATAATCTAACATTTAATCATATTCAAGCTTTTCACACTTTTTCCCAAAAATATTTTGTGTATCTAGTTTGTCTCACCCAGGATCTAATCCATCATTACACACTGCAAATGGCTGTTTTTCTCCATTCTAATTCAACTTTTAAATAATCTGTTTTATTCTTGCCAGTAACTTGTTAAGAAGACAGGACCACTGTCTTATAGAACTCCCTGCTGATGGATTTGCTCCCTCGTTTTTTTCTATTGTACAATGTGGTTGTCACTAGTCACATGTAGCAGCTGGGATTTTTAAATGTAACCAGTCTGAAGTTGGAACCCTGGTATGTTGCTGTAGGATAAGCACTGGATTGTTTACCCCAAGGTCAGCAGTTCAAACCCACAAGCCACTTCTCGTAAACCCTGTATAGCGTCACTATGAGTTAGAACCAACTTGACGGCACTTAACAACACCACATCTGAATGAGATGGGTTGTGAGTGTAAAATACACACTGAAGTTCTAAGACTTACTACCAAAGAAAAGTAAAATATACTTTAATATCATTATTTGAATGTTGACTACATGTTGAAATGATAATGTTTTAGATATATTGGGTTAAAGAAAATGTATTTCTTTGTTTTTAACCTCTGCTTATGGTTTTTTCTTTTTTAAACTTTTTACTGTGAATTGAATGAAGGTTTACAGACAAGATCATCACTTTTACAATCATATGCTTCATTTCATCTCAATGATTGTAATCCTTTCCATGCAACAGTGATTATCCTGATTCCTCTCTGTGGTTCCTGTTTCTATTACACCCACCTTTCTTTCCACCCCTCTGAACTTTGTCCTTACGTAAATGTTGTCCTTCTGATTTTGAATTATTGACCATTTCATGGTGAGCATACCTTACTATTGTTGCTGTCCACCCTCCACCCCCACCTCCCATATACTTATCTATTGCATTATTGCTTGGCTGAAAATTTGTCCATGAGGGTGAGCTCCTTTCTATACCTGAGTGAGGGTGGTTGATGGCCATAGACTTGAGTTCCTCCAGTCTCTTCTGACCTGTAGACCCAGTTTTATAAAATAATTTTGAGTTTTGTTTCACGATTCCTCTCACTTTTTCTGGGACCTTCTAATGTGATCACTTTCAGAGCAGTTGGTAGTGTAGCTAGGTGCTGGCTTAGAGTTGTGGAGACATTTGTTCACATGCTCCTGTAATCCACTGACTAACTGATTCCAAGCACCTTCAATTCTCATTACTGTTTTTTCTTCCATACATGGAAAGATCAATAGCTGCACATTAGATGGCCACTTGTGAACTTTTAAGATTCTAGACACTGCTCACCAGTGCAGGATGTAGAACATTGTTTTTGTGGCCTATGTTATGCCAGTTGACCATGGTGTCTCCTGAGATATGGTCCTGAGCCCTCATTGCCTTAAGGCATTTGATAATAAAATACATTGTTATCATTTCATGTTCCTAACCACAGTCCTGGTGTGGCGCTGTGGGCTAATGTGTCAGACTGCAAAGTCATTTGAATTGCAAGGTCGGTAGTTCAAGCTCACCAGTTGCTCTTTGGAAACTCTATACAGGGTCACTACAGGTTGGAATTGACTCGACGGCACTTAACAACAACAACAACAACAACAACCACAGTCAGTGCTTCAAATCCACCAGCTACTTGGAGGGAGGAAGGTAAAGATGTCAGATAGCATAAAGATTCATAGTCTTAAACCCTATAGAGTCATTATAAGTTGGGTGGCTGTGGTTAAGACTAGAAAATTAAAAACAACCAATGTGCCACATTGGTAATTTTTTATTTTTATAACAGTGCTTTCTACCATGACCTTGAACATACCCCACCAGAATTTAGGATAATCTCAAGAACAGATTTGATACATTATACACTAGTGACCGAAGGCCAGAAGAGTTGTTGGAGAACATCAACACCATCATATAGGAAGAAAGCAAAAGTTCATAAAGAAGATAAGAAAGAATGAAAAGACCAAAATGGGTGTCAGAAAAGACTCTGAAACTTGCTCTCCAGCATAGGGGTCCTAAAGCAAATGGAAGAAATGAGGAGGTAAAAGAGCTGAATAGAAAAATTTAAAAGGAGGCTCGAGAAGACAAAGTCAAACATTACAATAAAATGTGCGAAGACCTGGAGGTAGAAAACCAAAAGGGAAAAACACACTCAGTATTCCTCAAGCTGAGGGAACTGAAGAAGGAATTCAAGCCTTGACTTGCAATATTGAAGGATTCTATGGGCAAAATGTGGAACGATACAGAAAACGCCAAAAGAAGATGGAAGGAATATGCAGAGTCACTGTAGCTGAAGGAGATGATTGATGTCCAGCCAGTTGAAGAGGTAGAATAAGATCAATAACCACTGATACTGAGTGAAGAAGTCCAAGGTGCATTGAAGGCATTGACAACAAACAAGACTGTGGGAATTGATGTAATACAAATTGAAATCTTTCAACAAACTAATGCAGCACTAGAAGCACTCACTCATCTAAGCCAAGAAATTTGGAAGACCTGGCTGACTGGAAGAGATCCGTATTTGTGTCTGTTTCAAAGAGAGGTGACCCAATAGAATGCAGAAATCATCAGACAATATCATTAATATCCTATGCAAGCAAAATATTGCTAAAGATCATTAAAAACAGCTATAACCATATATTGACAGAGAACTTCCAGAGGTTCATGGATTCAGAAGAGGACGTGGAATGAGGGATATCATTGTTGATGTTAGGTGGATCTTGGCTGAAAGCAGAGAATACCAGAAAGATGTTTACTTGTGCTTTATTGACTACACAAAAGCTTTCGATTGTGTGGGTCATGACAAGCTATGGACAGCATTACAGAGAATGAGTATTCAGAACACTTAATTGTACCATTAAGGTCCATAGACCAAGAGGTAGTTGTTCATACAGAACAGGGAACACTGAATGTTTTAAAATTAGGAAATGTGTGCACCACAGTTGTATTCTTTCACCATACTTATTCAGTCTGTATGCTGAGCAAATAATCTGAGAAGCTGGATTATATGAAGAAAAACATGGCATCAAGATTGGAGGAAGACTCATTAACAACCAGCGATATGCATATGATGCAACCTGGCTTGCTGAAAGCAAAGAGGACTTAAAAAACCTACTGATGAAGATCAAAAGCCATAACCTTCTATATGAGTTGCACATCAATGTAAAGAAAAAAAATTCCTCACCAATAAGTAACATCCATATAAATGTAGAAAAGATTAAAGTTATCAAAGACTTCATTTCCTTGATCAACCATCAATACTCATGGAAGTAGCAGCCAAGAAATCAAACGATGGATTGCATTAGGCAAATCTGTTGCACAAGACCTCGTTAAGATGCTGAAGAGCAAAGATGTCAATTTGAGGGATAAGGTGGGCCTGACCCAAACCATTGTCTTTTCAATAATCTCATATGCATGTGAGAGTTGGACAGTGAATAAGGAAGACCATAGAAGAATTGATGCATTTTAGCTATAATATTGGAGGAAAATACTAAAAGTAACATGAACTACTTAAAAAGCAAACATCTGTGCTGGAAGACGTACAGCCAGAGTGCTTCTTAGAAGCCAGGATGGCCAGACTTCGTCTCTCATACTCTGGACATATTTTCAGGAGGGATCAGTCCCTGGAGAAGGATATCATGTTTGGTAAAATGGAGGCTCGGAGAAAAAGAGAAATACCCCCAGCGAAGTGGATTGGCACAGTGGCAGCAGTGATGGGCACACATGTAGTTTGGCTCAGGCCTGGGCAGTATTATGTTCTGTTGTACATAGTGTCACTATGAGTTGGTACCAACTCGAAGACACCTAACAGCAACAATATCTGACAGCACTATTCTTACAGGTTTTTAAATAGAAAATTCCTGCTCTCAAATAACTCCGTATCATTCCTGAGATGCAGTGGGGAAAAAATACATCAGTAGGCAACAGTGTTCCTTCACTAGGGTTTTCTAACACATTTTCCAGTGTGGATCTAGCTTAGAGCATTTGAATGCCTAATATCCTGTTAGTTTTGCATTGTCCCATGGGTGAAACAGCTACTGAAGATTTTAAGTGTTTCTGATAGCTGAGAGTGTTAAATAATATAAACCTGTAAGTATATCACAAATGCGAAAGTGTGTTGTTAACCTAGTGTTGTTGATTTAAAGGCAAAACAAAAAAAGTATGCAAACCAGTGAAAGTTTGTGTTTGTGTCATTCATTCTTTCATTTTTTAATTTATAGCATTGAATAACCTTGGGCAGATTATTGTCACTGAATTTGGAGCGGTGGAACTTCAGCATGAGCTTCGAACACCAGAGTTTGTGAGTACTGCAACTTTATCTTCAACTTGTATTGTTTTCCTAGAGAGTTTTCATAAAATGGAGAAATCTTTTTTATGACTTCCTTCTCTAGGAGCTCTAGAACTGGCATAGGTGTGGCTGGCAGGAACTATTTGTTCAACGTTCTGGTGTCTCCTGGGAGCGTTTTACTGAATTGCGTCTCAGCATCATGCACTCAGCATCTTCATCATCAGCATGAGATGCTGCAGAGTCAATTCCAACTCATAGCGACTCAATAGGACAGAGTAGAACTGACTCACAGGGTTCCCAAGGCTGAAATCTCTATGGAAACAGACTGCCTTTTGATTAGCAGCTGAGTGCTGTACCCACTGCACCATCAGGGTTCCTTTTCATTCTTCTTAGTACTCATGTAATAGCATATGGAGCTCATTCTACAGTATAATAGCGTCGTGTTTCCAAAACTCACCCTTCAGGCACTGATGCTGTTGCTATCCGTTTCTGTTGTTAGTAACTCTGGAAAACATATACAGACACATGGACCAGCCTGGTCAATGAGGGTGGACACAGTCTGATTTCCATTTCATTCTGGAATGTTCAGCCAGCCTGGTCAATGAGGGTGGACACATTGTGATTTCCATTTCATTCTGGAACGTTCAGCCTATGTAGTTGGGTCTTGGAGGGCTAGGAATATTCTACTGGTTGTTCCTACCAAGAAGAGAACTAAATGCTCCCACTAAATTAGACTCATTAAAGATTGGCCATGGTTCCCACACTCAAGGAATTTAAAATCTTATTAGATGCTACTGTGATTTTATTAATGTCTTGTTTAAAGAAAATTAAGCACATAGGGTGTCTTCTGTGAAATGTCCTTACTAAATAGATTTTATATTAGGTTCATTTGGAGAGGGGGGATGGGAAAAATAAGGTCTGACTCAGGTAGTATATTATTATACTAGATGTGTAAGAAAACATGCCAAGATCCACTTAGATTTACTGATTTTTGTTCCTGCTGCAAATGACTTGTCTACCACTTTAGCAATGAAAAAAAAATTTTTTCTTGGTTTATTTTCAAAGGGTGATATGCAGTCGTCACTCCAGTAATTGGAAGAGCTCAATTGCATTATTGATAAAGACAAAAAGAGAACTCGTTATGTGCTTTTCCTCTTCTCAGTCTTTATGGATTGCCCACTCAATTCAACCAAGAGTAAGGAAACTAGACTGAGCTGTGGACGGAAAAGGGATTGCACATAAAACTGTATCCACTGTGCCATTTTATTTCAAACGATGGGACTCCTGTGGTGTTCTAGCAGATTGCCTACTGTGAAAATCACTTGGATATAATAGAAAGACCTAGTATTCAATGACTTCCTTATTATATTCAATGAGATTTTCAGGAGGAAAATTGTGAATGTTCACCAATATTCCTGCATTTTAAAGTAGACAGCCATTTTCTGTGTGTGTGTGTGTGTGTTTTAACTTCTGTCGTTAGAGCCAAAAAGCAGAACTGACACAGACATTTCACATTTGAATATGATATTGGCACAAACTCAGGGCACTTCCTCCCCACCCCACCTCACTCCACCCTTTTTTTGTTTGTTTGTTGCATCATTTCTGTAACTGGTTTTTATTGATGGGCTTTAAGCAACCTATGTAATCTAAGAAGAACTGTGTGCATTAGGTGTTGGTATGGCTGGTAAACATGTGTATTGTTTATACCAATTCCCTCTGTGACAATAAGATGATTTTTTTCCAAGAACTGATTGTAGTATATTATGATGTTTGAAATTGGCTTGCTTCAGCTGTGCCCTTTGCCACAGGGGATGCCAATCCACTGGTAACCTTGCTCCACCTTCACTGTTAACTTGTTGACTACCACATTACCATCTTCAAGGCATGAGAGAGACTAGTCCACGCTAGGATTGCCTCGGATGGAACTCAAGGATCACCAAATACATTGTACTGTATTGAGAGTCTCATTTAAAAATGAACTGAGAACTTCTGAGCTGGAAGTAAATTCTTAGGCTAAGTCCCTGCTTTCTAATTATATTTTTCACTGTCATGTCTCAAGAATAAAACACTCTACTGTTGAATTTATTCTACTCAAAGCAACACTATAGTAGAACACCCTAAGGTTTCCAGTTTTGTAAATCATTTACAGAAGCAGATTGCCACATTTTTTTTCTCCCATGGAGCAGCTGGTGAGTTCATATCACTGACCTTTCGGTTGGCAGCTGAATGCTTTAGCCACTATGCCACCAGGGCTCCTATCTCAAAAATAAGAGTTTTTTTCCCCTGTCCTGTAAGAATGGTAACAACTATCCCTCCCGCAGTACTCTGTACTCAGTTTTACTTGGTCGGTCGTTCATTGCAACAGCCACACAGACCTCAGACACGATATGCACAGTTATGGCATTTATGAGGGAAGTTAACGGGTTATAATTCAGACTCAGAAATGCTCAGGGAACAGCTTCCCCTCAGCCAGGCCCACAGGAAGGCTTAGCTCTGTCTGGGCAATGTTACAAAGCACTTTTAGGGCTGCTGATAAATGCTCACAGGGCATACCACTCTACCATAAGCCTCATCCTGAAGGCACTCAGCTGTTTCCATAGCTCAGCAAACCCAGCTTTCATAGTTAAGTGTCTGGAGGTACTACACTCTGCAAGCAAGCTTTCTGTCCAAAGCCACTCAACATATTACTTGCTCCAAGGGCTGGGAAGTGGACTTCTCTTTTTTGTGCTCTGGCTCTTGGTTCTGCTGCTGCTGCTGCTGTTGCTCTCTTCAACCCATGGATAGAGATCACAATATGTTGTGATCTCTGTGTCCAAAGAACATGCTCCACATCTGGCTCATTTTCTTTGATCATAACTAGATTCCCCCCTCCTGCTTCTGAGATGGTTCATTTTATACTAGAGTTCCAAGTTTTTATGATGATAATGAACTCTGTTAACATCCACTGTTGAATCATGCAATCCTTTCAGTATCTTCTCCCACCTTATTTTACCCAGGCTGATCTGGAAAAGGAATCCTCGTAGCATAGTGGGTTATGAGTTGGACTGCTCATTTCAAGGTCAGCAGTTCAAATCTACCAACTCATCCATGGAAGGAAGATGATACTTTCTGCTCACATAAAGATTTACAGCTTCGAAGACTACATACAGGGTCACTATGAGTCTGAACTGACTCAGTGGCATACAATGACCACCATTAGAAAAAGAGTTGTTTGGTGGGAGTTAACATAGGCTAAAGTTGGAAGAGACATATTAAATAATTCACTACGTTGCAAGTCTACGTTGGTGGTAGAGTTGTAATTTGTTAATGACATTTTACTTTTATGTGTAGCTGATGCTGTTGTTGTTCTGTGCCGTCGAGTCAGTTCTAACTCATCAAGTGACCTGGGTAGCTGATACCAGGTTTCAATATCTAGGCTATTTATTGTCTTTTCTCTAAGGGTGTCATTATACCAGGTTTAGGACTCTGGTTTTCTTATGCTTTATAGGCCTGATGTTCATTACATGATACTTCTTTGTGGGGCGTGGAAATACCTGCTTTTATTTTGTTCCCAGCTTATTATATCCAGAGCATTCTAGGTTCCTTAATAAACACATTAACGAAACTGCTGTCTCCATGGTACACAAACAGGTGGTGTAGGAGAGGTGCCTAGAGAGGAGGGCACTCCAGGGACTCAAGCACTTTATTTAAGGGTAGCCTTTTTAGTAGGCAGAAGGTTACAACATCAGCGGTAACCGGTGGCTGCATTCATCCATGCAAGCGGACTGGGCAAATGCCAGGACAAAATCAGGTATGTTGATTCAACCAAATACCTGAATACAAAAAGAGGGGACAACAGTGCAAACCTAGGAGCAAAAGAAACCAGGAACACAGCAAAATCAAAAACAGAAAGAAGATTGAGAAAAACAAAGGAGCAGAGAAATCAGTATTCTATTTTTTTTCCCCCATCTGACATTTTGGAAGGTTCAGCTGCAGTTTGCTGAACTGAACTGAAATAAAGCAAAGCATAGACAATGTTTATTCAGCCTTATCCGTAAATAGTTCAGATTTTAGAAGATCAAGAGCCCAGTGTTTTTTGTATAACAGAGTGTATTTATATAATTTGGCCCACAGGGAGAATAAAATGCTTATCATTATTAGATTGTTTCCTTCAGAATTTCAGTTTTCCTTTAGTTTGAAACAAGACCTTAGAGAGCAATACTAGTTGAATAACCTTGGTCACTGGCATGAAAAGTAAATTAAAGTTTTTCTTCACAACTCAGATATCTGTAATTTAGCTCATCAGGCAAAACTAGCATTACCGCGGAGTCCTCGTAAATTACAGGTAAATAAATGCTAAGCTCCCACTGTAACTTGAATACTGCAGCCCCCTGTTCTTGGGCAGGGTCCACACTAGCTTTCTTTCTACTAACTTGTGGCAGCAATTGTCCATTTTTTTATACCCATGTTGTTTTTCTCCACCTTCCATCCTATAGCGTAGACTGAGATGAGTGAGTTTAACTGAACCCTCCTGATGTTAATGGGGTGAACAGAGGTATGGACATAAAGTACCTGTGTTCCTGGTTCCTCACAGCTTGTGAGTACTTGGGAATGTGTTCAAACTATATACAAATCCACTTCAAAGCTAGGTAGATTTGTGGGTAGGTGAACGGGACCTGGCTAAATGCTAGTTGTATACACAGTAACTTGGTGGTCTTGCTATGGTTGGGAACCATCTTAATCCCAGTTGAGTTTGTTTGTATAGACATGATGCTAGTCATGCTACAACATGTCCTGTCATCTGTGTCAGTAACTTTTGCCATGAACATTTCTTCTTTAACATTGTTTACCTTCTCTATCGCTTTCTGTTCTGCAGCTTTGATGGACTATAATTCTTTTTGTAAGACCTGATTTTCAATGCAGTTGAGGGGGGATTTAGTGAGGGGAATGGTGGGATGGCTGGATGCTCAAGAACCATAGGAATGGTGATCATCATTTGGAGTCATGCACCTAGGAAATAGACTAGGTGCATG